ACCAGTGGCATAGCTTTCAGAATCACAGCAACTCACAAGCCACCACAGTACAACAAACTGACAGACAAGTGGTGGTAAGAACATTTAGGTTCCCTTAATTTCCTTTTTAGCTTTTAAGTGAAACTGCTCGAAAATTATCAGAAACAGCCCAATTACTGAATAGTCTCCACCATTCTGCAACAGCCCATTTGAACTGGGACCTGAAAGTAATATTTTTGACATCTTATAAGCTATTCTGAGCTTTTATTCCATCTCTCTTGGACTTCATTTCTGAAAGACACATATATTTCCCTGACAGCTCTGTCTAAAAGATTATGTTTTCAGATATTTACCCAAATCTAAAGCTGGTTTCTCCAGAGTACCCCAGGCCAGCACAGTGTAAGGAAACTGGTTTGCTAATGAGATGCTTTACCCTAGGTATGGGAAGAGAACCTACAAAACTCCTGTAGGTGAAGATGTTGTTGTTGTTTTTGTTAAGTGCCTTTGAGTTGGTTCAGACTCATAGAGAACCTGTATAGGGTATCTAGGGAGTGGCTGGTGCATTTGAACTGCCAACTTTACAGTTCAAACTGACCCTGCGATCCAGTGCTTTATCCTACAGCACCACACCAGGTGAAGATAGAAAGGCAGAAATTGTCACAAAACCCAAACCTGTGGACGTTTAAACTTGGAGCTTCATATTGAGTTATGGGTTAAATTAGATCCCCCAGAAATATGTGTTGGAATCCTATTCCTTATACTTGTGGATGTAATCCCATTTGTAAATAGGGGTTTGTTGCTGTTAGATTAATGAGGCCATATGACTGTAGGGTGTATCTTGTACCAAATCACTTCTGAGATACAAAAAGAGCAGATTAAGCACAGAGGCACGCCAACACAAACTAGGGGAGAGGGAAACAGATGTGCGGATTCCGAAGGCACCAAGGAGCCAGGCACACTGGGCTTACAGAAACTGAGATGAGGATCTAACCCGATGTTGACAGGAGAGAGCATGTTCCCCTACAGCTGGTGCCCTGAAGTGTGAGAAAATTAATTTCTGTTCTGTAAATCTACCTACTTGTGATATCTATTACAAAAGCGCTAGGAAACTAACACAGTAGTTCAAAGGTGTCTTAGGAATGTGAATGTGGAGGACGTGGATCACTGTCCAAAGAGTCAGAGCAGGTTGTTGTTGTTAGGTGCCAACTCACAGCGACCAGTGCACAACAGAACAAAATGCTGTCCCATCCTGCCCCATCCCCACAATCCTTGTTACTCTTGAGCCCATTGCTGCCGCCATTGTGCCAATCCATCTCCTTGGGGCTCTTCCTCTTTTTCTCCAACCCTCCACTTTACCAAATGAGACCCTCCACTTCTCTAAGGTCTGCTCCTTCCTGATAACATGTCTGAAGTATGCAAGATGGGGTCACATCATCTTGGCTTCTTTGGGAACATTTTAGCTGTACTTCTTCCAACACAGATTTGTTTGTTCTTCT